AAAATTATTTTTGTTGCTATTTCATCACTGTCATTTTGCTATGGTGATGAATCCGGCAACCCCTGTGAAAGGGTCGGTCGATCACTGAAGGGGACAGGTTGCGAGCTTGCCGAGCCTTGGCAACCTTTAGGGACAAGGGCAGGGGGGCGGAGGGAGGGAGGTAGTCTCTGGGTTAGTTGGCAGGGTCAGCAGACACCCACACCCTCCCTTACTCGAAGCCTTGCGTAAGAGTCCCTGACCTTAGTGGTGGGGCGATGATACTCACCCAGCTTACAGATGAGAAAATTGAAGGCCCAGAGAGGGGACACCATTTGCCAAGGGAGTGGATAGCCAGTCGGGGAAGGATTCCTCTCAGTGGGCTTTGTTCCTGCTGGGTCCCATCCTCTTCCTGGGGGAGTGGGGGGTGGAGTGAGGGGGACACTGACTGCTTGTCCCTCTCCTGCTCCCCATCCATCTCAGAATAGCAAACCTGCCCTTAGGGCTGCCTGCACTGCCCACGGGCTCATCCGTGCTGAGCTGCCTTTCCGCCTCCGCTGGTCCCCTTTGCTTCTCGGCTGTAGCCACACTGTCGTGCTTCGGGGCCTTTGCACTTGGCTGTTCCCTTGGTCTGAGGCTCACTTCCCTTTTCTCTGGAGAGATGGCTTATCACTGCAGATCTCCGTGCTGACATCAGCCTGTCACCAAGGCCCTGACTGCTTTATGGGCTTGTTTTCATTGCGGCCAAATTCGTGTTAATGTTAGTCATGCACTCTCTGGTGAGCTCTCTCTCACTAGAGTTATGCCTTCTTCACAGCTGTGTTTCTGCGGCACCCAGCTCAGGCCGGACACACAGTTGGCCCCTTGACTCATGTCTTCATGTCTACCCTCTCCTCAAATCCCTCCCTTTTTGTTCCAGGGTCGGGAGGTGCCCAAACATTTGTGCAGCCTCTGGAAGCCATCCTACCCCAGAGAGACTCCTTGCTAGTAAATTGTAGCACCACCTGTGACGAGCCTGAAACCCTTGGCCTGGAGACCATGTTGAACAAGAAAGAGGTGGGCTTTGGGACCCACTGGAAGGCCTATGAACTGAGCAACATCTTGGAAGACAGCATCCTGATATGCTTCACAAACTGCCACGGCGTGCAATCTGAAGCTTCAACCAACCTCACCGTTTACAGTAAGTACGTGGTGGCAGGGGGCAGGGGGTGGACAGGGGAAGGCAGTGGACAGCGGAGGCGGCTTTGTTGCTTGGGTGGTGGCATTGGGGAGCCCATGATGAAAGGGCGGGTTAGGACGGAGAGGCCCAGTGCCGTTTGGAGGTTCCTCTTCGGGGAACTTTGGCAGGGATCTGGCACCCAAGGGAGAGCCGGCTCGCTGGGTCTTGCTCTTGAAGCACGTAAGGGACAAGGTCCTCTGGGGGGCAGTGAGGGAAAGAAGATGCAAATGAAAACTTGGCGCCGCCCCCCCCTCACTCCGCCCCTGCCATTTTGCACAGATTGACAACAGTCGAAAGATTGGGTCATAGCTGTGTTGGCAATGCTGTGGGGGAACAGGGGCCCTCGAGACGTGGCTGGCAGGAGTGGAAGGAAATAAAACATCTCCCGGAGCAGGGGTTTTGGCGTTAGTTCTCAAAATGATGCGGGAGCCCGTGTCCCTGGGGCCTTGGAGCCCTGCTGCCGGAGAGGTGCTTGTCCACCAGGGGAACAGGTGGAAGGTCAAGGCCGTTCACTGCAGCTCTGTTCAGATAGGCACTCATTTGAAAAGCACTCAAAGCCAGCAGCCTCGGAAAACATCAGTGGGTGGGCTGTACTGACACATAGTATGCGACTGTGTAAAAGGAGAAAATACCTTAGGGTCCATAAAAGGGTGGGCACCAAGGGGTCTGGGAGAGTGCGAAAGAAGGAAGGGAGGCCCCTGGGGGACCCTCAAGCAGTTTATACTCAAGGACTACCTGGAAAGTTGGCGGGTTTCATCCACCTGGTGGCGCGGAAGAAAGGCCTGGCAATCTCACATCCACAGAGATGACAGCCAAGAACACCCTTGGGAGCCCTCATTCGGAATGGACCCGACGGCAGGAGCTTTGGTTTCTGGCCCAACATATGTCCAGTGTGAATACACTGGTCCCCTCTTGTCTTAAGGACAGAGACAGTCCTGAGTATGCGACATGGCGCAGTATTCCTTGGCTGGGTCCTGGGGAGAAGGCAGCGGGTGGCTTCTCTCTGTCCCCTTGTCTCCTTTGCGGGCTTTGAACTGTGAGAATGAGTGAGCCAGGGCAAAAAGAAATAGTTACGATTCAAATTTTAAGGGTGGTGGGAGCAGAGATAGAGAAAGAGAAGGGGGTCGAGGAAGTGAGGGTGAGAGTGGCTTTGGAATTGGGTAGCCTTGGGTTGTCACTAGCCACTGGGTGACCTTGGGGATGCAGCTGCTCAGGTTCCCTCTCTGTCACGTGAGACTTCTCAGAACGGGTGTTTCAGTGCAGTGGGGCGGAAGGAGCCCTCCCGGACACGGTGTCTGAGCAGAGCGAGCCCTTGGGCAAACAGGGGCTTTGTTTCTGGCTTAGGGGTGTTTCAATAGAACCCGTCACCTTGTGAGAGGGGAAAGTCCCCAGACATTCCCAGTAGGCCCAGAAAACCCCTTCAGTGAGCTGGGAAACCTTCTAGAACAGAATTTCCGCATCACAGCCCCGATGGCTGAGTCCAGGAGCTCCCACGTCTCGCCCTTGGTGCCTAGGCCTGCGTGTCTTCTCTGTGAGATGGGCTCAGGGGTCAGCATGCCAATAGCAAGAGAGGACAAGGTGGGGAGTTGGGGTGGGGTCACTTCAGAAGGATTTCAGCGAGGCTCTCCCGATCCTTGGCACAAAGGCCAAGGCTAAGCGCTCTGCTGGCTAACTGGAAGGGGTGAGGCTTGAGCTCTCCCAGAGGGTCTGCAGGAGAAAGGCCTGGCAGCCAATTCCCCTAAAGAATGCAGCTGAGCCAACCCGATGGGGCAATTCTACCCTGTCACATGAGTTCGCCCACCCAGCAAGAAGAACAGTCACCAAGCAGGCTATCTCAGGTCAGCGGACTCCTAACAATAATTAGAAACAGTTTAGTAAAAACACAACAACAAAAAACGGAATTCACAAATAAAGATGAGGGCGCCTCGCTGGATGGCTTCGGCTTCTCTGGAAAGGTTAAAGGGTTGTTCCTGCAGCAGGTGATCCTGACCTGACCCTTTGAAGGCAGAGGCCTTTTTGGTAAAGACAAGCATCCTGGGCAGCCAAGGGAGGAAACGTCCTGATCCAGGGGCAGTGTTGATGAGCATGAGTTGGTTGGCTGGAGCCAGGACTTGGGGCTGCCAGGCCCTTGAAGGCTAGGGCCAAGGAGCTAGGACCTTCCTTTCCTGGCAGTGGGGAGCCAAGGAGAGTGTGGGAGCAGCCGCAGGCTGGGGATCTAGAGAGCTGAAGGCTGGCGGCCTGGGGACTCAGTGGCCCTGTGCCTTGTCCAGGCCATGTGCGGGAAGGGAGGGGCAGACAAATATTTGCAGAGCGAGTCAAAGGACTTGGTGAAAGATCAAAGTTATGGGGGTGGGGGTAAGTCGGAAGAGGCCCTTCTCCCTGTTCCTGGCCCCAGTTATCAAGGCTGACCTTCAGGAACAGCTGGAGTCTACTGGGGCCAGAGCCCTGAGGGGGCCTTCAGGCTCCACAAGTTGAAATTGGCCACAGGCTGTGGGAATCAGAGCCAGACGTCTGGGGGGGCCTCACTACCCTATCTTGGTTTGATTTTCAACAGGCTTATGGGGAGATGCCATTTGCTTACCCTCCCAGCCACCTAGGACGAGGGACAGCCAGGAAAGTGTGACTGTTTCACACGGAGCTGACAGCCAGGGCCGCAAATGAATTTTAGAACGTTTCTCCTTAGCCCCCCCAGACAAAACCTCCACTTCAACAGCGGGTTAGGAATAGCACCCCCCCCACCCCCAAGAGTCTCGAGTGGCCTTGTTTCACAGCTCAGAAAACTGAGGTTCTGCAGATGTCACGTGAAAGAGTCCGCAGGGCCGGAAACCAAACCCAGCCCTGTCACTCGGCTGCGGACATTTCAACAGCAACGCCTGAGATGCTCAGGGAAAGGGACCCCTGGGAAAGAGACTAGGACAGGGACAAACGCTAAGACCCCCTCCCTGGTAGTGAGGGGGTTGGGGACTGGAGGTGTTCTTTATGGCCCCTCGGAACTCCACCGTGGATTTTCATTGGTGACCCGCCCTAGGAATTTGGTGGCCTTGTGTGGCACGTGGCACCTGGTCTGGAAAACGCAAGCCCACCTGCAGTGGAGAGGAGACACCTCAAGTTTCACTTTGAGGGGCTGGGGGCCAGGGCGTTTTGTTAACCAGAAAGGGTTTACTTGTTTCATTGACCATGTGAGAGCATTCGACTGTGTGGACCATAATAAACTGTGGATCACTTTGAGAAGAATGGGAATTCCAGAACACTTCATTGATGCTCACGAGGAACTTCTACATGGATCAAGAGGCAGTTGTGTGCACAGAAGAAGGGATTATTGCATGGTTTAAAATCAGGAAAGGTGTGCCTCCTTGGTAAGCATAGGGTGAAGAGGTTGTATTCTCTCCCCATCCTTGCTCAATCTACGCTGAGAAAATCATCAGAAAGTCTGGGTTATATGAAAAACGTAGCACCAGGACTGGAGGAAGTCTTATGAACAACCTACAGTATGCAGATGATACCATTTTGCTTGCTAGAAAGTGCGGAGAACCCGAAGCACTGGCTGATGAAGATCAGAGATTGTAGCCTTCAGTAGGGATTACAACTCAATGTAAAGAAGATCCAAATCTTCACAACTGGACCAAAAGGTAACATCATGATAAATGGAGAAAAGGTTGGAGTTGTCAAGGATTTTTGTCTTGCCTGGATTCACAATCTATGTTGATGGAAGCAGCAGTCAAGGGAGCCAACGATGCACTGCACTGGGTGAATCTGCTGCACAAGCGCTCTTAGAGCAGTGGTTCTCAACCTGTGGGTCGCGACCTCTCTGGGGGTCGAAGGATCCCTTCACAGGAGTTGCCGAAGGCCATCGGAAAACACACAAATATTTCACAATACATCATTTCATATTGTGTTGTGATTAACCAGTACGCTTTAATTATGTTCAATTGTAACAGTGGAAATGGATCCTGCATGTCAGATATTTACATGCGTCATAACAGCAGCAACGTTACAGTGATGAAGTAGCAACAAAAATAATGTTATGGTGGGGGGCCACTACAACATGAGGATCTGTATTACAGGGTCGCGGCATTAGGAAGGTTGAGAACCACTGCTTTACAGTATTACAGAGCAAGGATGTTACTTTGAGGACTAAGGTGCTCCTGACCCAAGAAGACCCTGGTCTTCTCCATTGCTTCCCGCATATGCATGTGGAAACTGCACATTGATAAGCAGGACGGAAGAAGAAGGGATGCATTTGAAGTGAGCTGCTGGAGAAGAAGAATCAGAGTACCAGGAACTGCTGAAAGGACAAACCCGTCTGTCTTGGAAGAAGGCCAGAGTGCTCCTCAGGGGTAAGGATGGCAAAACTTCATCTTACACACTTTGGACATATTGGCAGGAGAGACCAGGCCCTGGAGAAGGACATGCTTGGTAAAGTAGAGGGGCATCGAAAAATAAAAATGAAGGCAGCCCTCAATGAGATGAATTGGCACAGTGTCTGCTGCTTCAGTGGGCTCAGGCATAGGCACAATTGTGACGATGGCACAAGACCGTGCAGTGTTTTGTTCTGTTGTGCATCGGGTTGTTATGGGACGGAGCCAATTCTACGGCTGCTAACAACAACAAGCCCTAGAGCCCTGGCTACCCATTTGCTAACCACGAGGTCAATCATTGGAACCTACCAGCCCCTCCGTGGGACAGAGAGAACGCTTTCTGCTTGTTAAGGATTTCTAGCCTCAGAAACTCACAGGGGGAGTTCTCCGCCCCCTCTCCAGGGCTGCTCTGAGTTGAAGTGAACTTGTTGGCAGTGAGTGAGGTTGTGTGCCAGGCCCAGCCGGGAACACAACAGACAGAAATCCCACCCTCCCGCAGCCTGGCATTCTCGGAGAGAAAGGAGACGGCAGGTACCTGAGGCGATTCCATTGGTAGGGAACCCTTTTTCCTGCTAAGGGCCATTTGGATAGTTAGGGCATCATTTGAAGGCCATATTGGACAAACATTTAATTAATTCACCCACAATGTGATGACCAGGTGCTCTGGTGGCCTAGTGGTAACAGGTCAGACTTCTAATCACAAAGCCAGCAGTTCAAACCACCAGCCACTCTGAGGAAGAAAGACAGCGATGCTTTAAACTCCTGTCAAGAGTGACAGCCTTGAAAACCTACAGGGGCCGTTGTTCCACTCTGTCCTATAGACTCGAAGGCTGTGAATCATTTGCCTTTGGTTTGAGTCTGATGGCAGGAAATGCTTCTCTTTGATAAGAGGCTTGAGGTTCAGTGGGATTTTTGTGGATTTTGTGGTCCTCACGCCATCAGTTTGATGTGAATCCATACCAATAAAACCCACTACCACTGAGTCGATTCCAACTCATAAGCCACCCTCTGAAGGCTTTCCAGCACTGTACATGTTTACAGGCAGAGACAGCCCCCATCGTTCTCCCTGGGAGCAGCTGGTAGGTTTGAACTGAGCCAGCTTTGCAGTTAATAGGCCAACACCAAGCCCATGATGCCACCGCCACCGGCTCCTTACCTGGTGCCTGGAAGCTTCCAAAAGTCTGTGGCCCAACTCTCTTATTTCTCTTTCCGTTCTTCCACGGACTTTGTGAAGTCCCCTGTCTGTGAGAAGATGGTGGGTGTCATGGGAACAGAGGGGGGTGGGGGTGGCCGGGAGCTTTTTGGACAACACGTAGTGGACCTGGCTGCTTAAATTTCTCTCCTCAGGTTTATCTGACCAGGCTGACCCCTTGGTGGTGGAACTTGGAGGTCCCACCCCCACCCCATTTTTCATTCTGCCCCAACCAAAGTCACCTGCCCCTGAGTGTCCATTCTATCTGAGTGAGCAGGTAGAACAATCTAGAACTGCCACTGGGGGTCTCCTGGGGTGTCAGTCTCTCCTTCTACCTGAGCACAGGCGGGTGGGTGGATTAGAACGGCTGACTGTGGGTAGCAGCCCCAGGCGTAACCTGCGTCAAGGGGCTCTCTTTTCATTAGAAGATGCTGTAATGAAGAAAGAATGTCTAGTCCACTCGACAAACACCTGTAACCCACGCCCCTGGCTCAGGAAAGCTCTATCACATTCCAGCCGAGGTTGTGGAGGGTTGGAACCCACCCTGGGAGCCACTTGGAGGCGGGAGTGGGGTGAGGGGGGAGCGCCAATGAGCAGTTTCCCTGCAGCGGTCTCTATTTCCTTTGCCAGCTGTGGGAGATCATTGAGCAATTGAAGACGCAATTTTCTAGAGACCCGCCTCCGCATTCCTGTCTGGTTTAGATGGCAGGGTGTGTTGGTGGTGGTGGTGTGGGGGATGGCATTTAGAGGGAGGGGCGATGCCAGGACTGGTGCAGCCTGCGCCCGGGCATCTCCTGCCTGCCCAGGGCACCCTCCAGCTCACACACACCCCCCCCCTTCTCTCCTTAGGGCTCCCGGAGCGCGTGGAGCTGGCGCCCCTGCCCGCCTGGCAGCCGGTGGGCGACAACCTCACCCTGCACTGCGAGGTGGCAGGCGGCGCGCCCCGGGCGCATCTCAGCGTGCTGCTGCTCCGCGGGCAGGAGGAGCTCGGCCGGCAGCCCGCGCTCGGGGAGCCCGCCCGGGCCTCCTTCACGGTGCGCGCGCGCAGGGAGGACCACGGCGCCAACTTCTCCTGCCGCGCCCAGCTGGACCTGCGCTCCCTGGGCCTGGCTCTCTTCCAGAACAGCTCCGCCTCCAGGCAGCTCCGGACCTTCGGTGCGACCACGACCCCTGGGTGGGAGGGACCCCTGGCTGCAGGGTCCTGGGTTACAGAGGCCTTTGGGATGAGCACACCAGTAGCCCCTGGGGTGGGGTCTCCTGGGGTGGGGCCCTGACAGTCACAGGGTCTTTTGAGAAGGCTGTGGCCCCGGCCAAAGAGCGAGTCCTAGTAGCATAGTGGTCAACAGTTTGAAACCACCAGCCTGCCTGAGAGAGAAAGAGGAGGCTTGCTACTTCCGGAATGAGTGCTAGTCTCAAAGCCAGAGGGGCAGTTCTACTCTGCCCCATAGGGTTGCTGTGAGTCATGCACCAGGTGGCAGTGGGTGTGCAATTTGGGGGGAATGACCCCAGCCAGGCGGTGGGTGGGTCCCGGGACCCAGTGATTCATGCTCTTGCGCAGTGTCCCCCAAAGATGATGTCCACTCAGCTCACATCCCCCTCTACTCCCCAGCCCTGCCAGAGACCCGGCCGATCCTCACCACCCCCCGGATCCTGGAGGTGGGCAGAGAGACCACCGTGACCTGCACCTTGGAAGGGGTGTTCCCAGTCTGGGAGGCTCAGGTCTACATGACGCTGGGGGACCAGCGACTGAACCCCGTGACTGTGCCCGATGCGGCCCCACTCTCGGTCACAGCCTCAGTCGTGGCGGACAGCGATGAGAACGAGACCCAGCCGCTGACATGTGCTGTGTTCTTGGGCAACCAGAGTCAGCAGACCAGAGAGACAGTCACCATCTACAGTAAGAGGGGGCAGGAGCCAGGCTTCTAGGGCGGGTAGAGGCCGTGGTCCTTAGTCACCCTTCCGGTCTGGAAAGGAACTCCACCGCACATTAGCGTTATCAACCTTTTCGGATCAGCAGGGCAGCAATCTACCCAAGGGCCAAGTCCGAGGATTCCGAAAGGGTTAGAATGGAAACTGGGAAACCGGGGAGGCAGTGGGATAAGTGAGGGGGGTCTACAGAGGGGAGCGACAAAATGCATATAAATTGTTGGTGCAAAATGGACGATATGATCTGTCAACCTTCACCGCATTTGCAATGAAAGTTAAAAAAAACGGGAAAAAATATTTTTTAAAGTTAAAAAAAAAAACGATTGCAAGTGGGAACTGCTAAAAGAAAGAAGGGGTGGAGGGGTGGGGCTTGCTACCACAGCCTGAGTCTCACGGTATGCCCCACCCCCAGGCTTCCAGGAGCCCAACCTGACATTGAGCGAGGTAGAGGTCGCCGAAGGGACGGAGGTGAACGTGGTGTGTGAGGCTCAAGCGGCAGCCATGGTGATGCTGAGCGGGGTTCCAGCCCTAACCCCAACTCAGTCCTCGGACCACAGGGTCCACTTCCGGCTTAACGCCAGCGCTGAGGACAATGGCCGAAGCTTCATCTGCTCCGCTGCCCTGGAGGTGGCCGGGGTGGGGCTGCACAAGAACCAGACCCAGGAGCTCCGTGTCCTGTGTAAGTAGGACGTTGACCTCTGAGGCCCAGATTCCAAGACCCTGTCCTGCAAAGCCTGTCCCCCATGACACCCCAGGCCATCCAGTCCTGGGTGGGAGGGGCCCCGGCCTAACTCTCCCAACCCTCATCTTCCTTGGCTTCTCCAGATGGCCCCCGAATAGACGAGCGGGACTGCCCAAGCAACTGGACGTGGCAAGAAGGCTCCGAGCAGACCCTGAAGTGCCAGGCCTGGGGGAACCCACGCCCCAAAGTGACCTGTTGCCGAAAAGGGGACAACTTCTCGCTGCCCATCGGGGACCTGAGGCCTGTCACGAGGGACTATGCAGGCTCCTATCTTTGCCGGGCTGTGAGCACACGTGGGGAGGTCACCCAGCAAGTGGTAGTAACCGTGCTGTGTGAGTACCCAGACAGGTGCCTGGGCGGGGTGGGGCAAGGGGCCGGGCTCAGGCTTTGTCCTCACCGGCCTCATTTTGTCCCCACAGACCAAAAGTACCACTTGGTTGTCATCCTTACGGTATTAACAGCGGTGATCTTGGGCACTTCTGGCACGACTGCCTACCTTTACAACCGTCAAAGGAAGATCAGGAAGTATAGGCTACAGAAGGCCCAGGAGGCAACCTCCATGAAGCTGAATACGCCGGCCACGCCACCCTGAGCCCAGGCCAGGCTTGGCGGCCGCACCACCTCATTAGACAGCATGGCGGACAGAGGACAGGAGACTGGCTGCTGTTGGCACACAGTGCTTGGTGTCCAGGCACTGGCACACCTAGGACCACGCCTCCCCCGCTGACCTGTAGCCACAGGAATGAGCCAAGAGGAGGGAGCTAAACTAGAGATGCCGGACCTAGCAGGGGGTGGGGTGGGGTGTGGAAGACACATGCCCCCAATCTGGGGACACACAGCCAGGAAACGGTGAAACTAGCCTTGGAGGGCCCACATTCCGCAAGACAAAGTGGCCCAGCCACAGACACACTTGGCTCTGAAACACAGCCCTACACTCCTGTCCACTGACGGCCCCACCTCTTGAGGACATATTTATTGTTTTATTTGTTCCCTGCTATTTATTGTGTGTCTTTCATGTCGGCTAGAATAGTGAAGAAGGTCAGTGTCCCTTCTTGCCCTCAGGGAGCCTTCAGTCTGACCTCATTTAGGGCCGCCAGGGACAGTTGTACTGGCTGTGCCCTGCACAAGGGTGCCCGGCTATAAACACGGACAGCCATCCTTCACTCCACTGGTTCCACGATGGTTTCCTCTCCCCTACCAGAGCAGGGGGTGACCTTTTCTATCTTATACAAAGGCACCATCAGAAGCAGCCTGCCAGCACGTCCAGAGTAGACCCACTAAACCCTTACCTTCCTCCATCCCCATCCCTGACACTGACCTGTTAGCCACCTCCCTCACCCTAGTGACTCTCTGCGAGTGTTCCCAATAACATTTGAAGGCCACACCAAAATAAGGGTGCTCATTAGCAGCTAAAACATGCCCGCCCCCAAGCCTGTGTGCCCCTGCCCTGCCCTGCCTACCTCCTGGTTTCCATCTGTAGGACCATGCAAGGAGGCGGTGGCAGCCGGCAGTGGGAAGGGAGGCCAAAGTTTCAAAGTATCCCCACCCAGTTCTAGAAGCCTCACCATTGAATAAAGCGTTTTCATCTGCCCCAAACCTTGTGTGACTTGAGGGGAGCTGTCATGTCCAGTCCAGCTGGAACTCTTTCTAATCACTCGCTCAGAGGGCCTGCCCTCCCACTTCCTCCACTGAGAGAGGGCCTCCAGCCAAGGCCCAGCCCTGGGGCTCCGCTCCAGTTCTCAGTCTGTTTACCACCTTCTGAGAAGACAGGCTCCGGAAAAAGCCATTGGCTTTTGGTCTGCCGTGGAGTCTGAATTCCATGTTTGAGCTGAGGGAGGCCAGTGTTGGCTGGCTGCAGGGTTCCTGGGCCCTCCAGGGGGCCTCTGTTGCTCTGGGTGGGGCAGAGAGGCGGGCCTGGTGGCTCTCTTATCTCCAGAGCCAGTGGTGGCTCCCTGGCCTGTGGCCCCTCAGTTCGGGCTCTTTGCCATGAGGTCTCTGCTCCTGCTCTCGCTGTTGCTTTTGCTGGCAGCTGCATACTTGGGAGGTGGGAGCACACGGGGGCCCAGGGCGGCCTGGACGCAAGGCCCTGAGGGCAGCCCTGCCTCACCCTTAGAGTCCTCAGCACAGTTCTGGGTGCGTTTAAGTCCCGAGGTGGTGGCTGTGCCACCGGGGGACTCGGTGTGGCTCAACTGCAGTAGCAGCTGCCCCCTGCCAGAGGGCTCTGGACTCATCACCCGGCTGCGGCAGGGCAAGACACTCGGTGGGCCCGGCTGGATGGCCTACCAGCTGCTGGATGTGAGGGCCTGGAGCTCAGACGTGCGTTGCTTCATCACCTGTGACGGGGAAACTCGTTGGGCCAAGGCCAGAGTCACCGCCTACAGTGAGGGTTAAGGGCGCCCGACTGGGACAGCTTCACGGGGGTGGGGGGTGAGGAAGGGAGGGCAGGTGGATGGTGGCACTAGGGAACTCTGGCAGGTCCAGCTATGCATTCTTCTTGTCTTAGAGCGACCCAAGAGCGTGATCCTGGAGCCTCCTGTGTTAGTGGGCAGCAAGTACATGCTGCGCTGTCACGTGACACACGTGTTTCCTGTGGGCTTCCTGGTGGTGATGCTGCGCCAAGGTGGCCGAGTCATCTACTTTGAGAGCCTGGAGCGCTTCACAGGCCTGGATCTGGCCAATGTGACTCTGACCTACGAGTTGCGCCCCGGGATCCGCCACCTTTGGCAGCCCATAACGTGCCACGCTCGCCTTAATCTCAGTGGCTTGGTGGTCCGCAGCAGCTCGGCGCCCATCACGCTGACCGCCCTTGGTGAGGCACCTCTGTAACCCTGGGGCCTTGGAGAGAGGGCGGGGAAGGGGGAACCTCCTGGCCCCAGAGGGTCACCTCCCACTCCTTGCGTGTGCCCTACCCTGGACTTCCAAGTGTCCTGTTCCTGATTTCCACTTCCCTACCCTCAGCTTGGAACACCAAGTCCAAAGCCTTGTCCTTAGCGTCCATCGCAGCCCTCCTGGGGATCGTTCTCATCGTGGGAGCCACCTACCTGCACAAGTACCTGGCGATGCGTGCCCAGATGTAGTGCCTGGGGAGTGGTCCACCTCCGCTGAGCCAAAAGGGGGGAGGGGATTTGGAGAGCCTTTTGGGGAACCCTACCCTGATCAATAAACGCTCTGTTGTTCCCCACGAGTGCGCCCCCTCTGTGGAAGCATCGCCTTCTGTCTCAGCCACCGTGGCTTCTTCCAAGTTCTCCGTGATACTCAGAGTACCCAAGGTCTTCTCCCTCCCACCTACCTGGGGTCCTCTGAGCTCCAAGTCCTCTGTCTTCCCAGTGGTGGAGTAAAGAAAGCCTTCTTTCTCCTACTGTGAGGCCTTATCAGGCAGGTGCAGATGGGGGAAGCTGGGCCCTGCAGGGAAAGCCTGGAGGGCTCTGGTTCGAGGCCTGGTTTTTCCTGTTTGCCTTCTGACTGCCAGCAGCAGCTGCAATTGGTGGTGTCCTTTCTTTCCCTCGCCCACCTCCACTTTAGATCCGGGGCTTTCCTGGTGGACAAAGGTAGAGCCAGAAAGGTGTGGCCCACCAC